TTCATCGTTAGGCCAGATGATCTACTCTTCATGCCAAAGAAAACTCCAGTGGATGACTAGGAAAGATAGTGTTAAGATTTTCTTTATTCTCCACCACCCTTGTACAGAGTTGAACACTGCTTTGTTTTGTGACAACTGCTGTCAGTTTACATGAGAATTTAGCCATGTCCTTTTCCCCGTTCTGCGATGACTCTTCCATCACTTGTTGATTTGCTTTGAAGAAACTTTGCCCTTGGGGACTGATGCAGCTACTCATTTTAACTCAGAGCAGCCCAGGCACAGCTATAAGAAGATACAGGAGAAGGGGGCTACCGAGAAGAGGACGCAGACTCTGAGCTGCACAATGAAAGGACAAGAGGCAACAGTTGTGAAGTGCAATAAGGGAGCTTCCAGCTGTGCAATAAGGATAAAACACCCTCAAAGTAGTGCAGCACAGGGATACATCTCCCAAAGTTGTTGTGGACTCTTCATCCTTGGAGGTTTTCAGAAAAAAAAAAAAAAAAGGCCTGGATAAGGCCCTAAGCAACCTCCAAATTTGCTCGAAATGTGAAGTTGGCCTTGCTTTGAGCAGGATGTTGGACTGGGTCCTCCGGAGGTCTCTTCCAACCAATATTTTTCTCTGTTTTCTATGTGGACAGGATAAGGTCTGAGAGGGGAGGACTGGGCTGCATAGCAGTGGAGCTACTTTTTACCATGTGACCCAGAACAGGAGCCATCCTGTGTGACGGAGAGATGCATGTGGTCCCTTTTCTGCTGCAGTCTCATCTGTTATCCCTCAATACCTTACAATTTACCGTCTTACATTTTCACTTGACTTCCCAGAAAAGCAAAAGAAAAAGCCTCAAATTTATCATGAGCTGGAAAACATGAGACTCTGCAGACCAATTTCATTTTAGAGATGTTTTTGAAGGAAATACTGAGAATTTGCCTTTCAACGAACAGCTCGTTTCAGCCACCTACACGCAATGACTTACACCAGTCTCTACTAGTACTGATGCAACACTCTCCGTCTCTCTGGTGTTTTGACACAGTACGTTAGGAGCACTTCACAAATACTGAAATTAGCCAGGGACCGGTAAATTCTGAATTTTAATTTTTACACAAAAAAGGAAGATGATATTCACAAGGATGTTGCCTGTGCTTCACCAGTTTAACTGTAATACATTCTGGATCAAGCTTCACTATTGACAGATGAAGTGGTGTTTATGGTCTCCACCCCAGAGCATCATGAAAACTCAGATCAGAAAGGAAGTCCCTGGGCTTCTGAGGCGCTGGAGGCCCATAGTCCCCCCAGTTTGCAATAGAAGTAAGACGTGCACATCACTCCTACAAATCAGCTTGCACCACCTTGCAAAGTGGCATCCTCATTCCCAGTGAAATCAGTGAGTTTTAAGTGTTCCACACGACATGTGCCTAAACTGAAGTTATGCGTTCTAAACTATCCCAAACACAACTGTGATGGGATGAGTCAAAGCAGATGGGGATTAGCAAACTGAAGGCTGTAGGAAATTAGCCTGTGTAAACAATTGCTTATTTAAAACTGTAGTAAAAATATGTAGGTCGCCACAAAACCACATCATAAGATGAAAGCAAAGAAAGAGGTGTAGGTTTAGACTGACAACGGGAAACCAGACTTACACAGCTCTGCCCTGCCTAGGACATGAGAGGGGAACACAGCTGCACCCAAAATCTAACAGTTTTTTAAGCTCATGCGTGTTTGCACCTATTTGAATGGCGTTCACTTTCACATAAACAGATCACGTGAGTATCGGTGTGTCTGTGAAATGAATCCACAATTACATTTTGATTAAAGTGAGGCTGATATTCTAAAGGGCCTTCAAAATGCACATAGAGTTTACTAACCGATATATATCTGTGTGTATAAACCTTACTGCCTTCCTGAGGAGGTCAAAACAAAAATGAACAGAGGTACATGTGATTTTGCTATACTATTTAGGATGTTTAGATAGTGCCTATCCTCCCAGCGTCTCAGACACTCACAGATTTGATGAATGTGATGCCTCTTCACGACCACCTTTATAAATTAGGATGTGCTAGTTAATCCCAATTTCCAGGTATGAAATGATGCACAGAAAAGCTTAAAGACCCAAATCACAGCAGTGGTCTGTGCCAGAGAAGAGAATTCGAAGCTTACAGTGTTAGATTGATAGCTGAATGATATTTTACTTCAAATCCATTTCGCAACAGATTTTGAGGCAGTGGCTTTCTGATTCAGCCTGAGAAATGCTAATTTGACACTATTACTTTTTGCTGTAAGGTCATGATTCTCAGTCTCTGGCTGAGTAGTTAAAGGTGACTGTGAATCATCTGTGCACCCGCATGCATTTACCTCGGGTCTGCAACTAGAGTGGAAAACATCTAGGCGAGCTACAAATTGAAAAAGGCTGAAAATGTTTTTTTTCAAAACTCAGGATCCATTTACTGCTTTCAGGCACTACAGAAGATTTTGACACGGTAGGTCAACGTACATTTGTAGTCACTATACCCAGATTTTCAACTTTCCTTCTGAAGTGATAACCTCAGGCCACCATAAGCTGAGTCTATGTGGAAGAACAAGGGGTTACATATGAGCCTTGGTGATGGCAGCTGAGGGAGAAGGAGCCACTGGATGACAGTAACAGAGAGCCAAGGAGCTGCTGGGCAATGGTGGAAGAGGGGAAAGAAGCTGCTGGGCTCCAGTGGCTGAGGAACAAGGGGCTGCTGGGCATTGGTGGCTGAAGGGAAAGGAGCCATGGGATAAAAGTAGCTGAAAGGAAAGGAGCCATGGGGTGACGGCGGCTGAGGGGCAAAGGAGCTGCGGGGTGATGGCGGCTGAGGGACTAGGAGCCGCGGGGTGATGGTGGCTGAGGGACTAGGAGCCGCGGGGTGATGGTGGCTGAGGGACTAGGAGCCGCGGGGTGATGGTGGCTGAGGGACTAGGAGCCGCGGGGTGATGGTGGCTGAGGGACTAGGAGCCGCGGGGTGATGGTGGCTGAGGGACTAGGAGCCGCGGGGTGATGGTGGCTGAGGGACTAGGAGCCGCGGGGTGATGGTGGCTGAGGGACTAGGAGCCGCGGGGTGATGGTGGCTGAGGGACTAGGAGCCGCGGGGTGATGGTGGCTGAGGGACTAGGAGCCGCGGGGTGATGGTGGCTGAGGGACTAGGAGCCGCGGGGTGATGGTGGCTGAGGGACTAGGAGCCGCGGGGTGATGGTGGCTGAGGGACTAGGAGCCGCGGGGTGATGGTGGCTGAGGGACTAGGAGCCGCGGGGTGATGGTGGCTGAGGGACTAGGAGCCGCGGGGTGATGGTGGCTGAGGGACTAGGAGCCGCGGGGTGATGGTGGCTGAGGGACTAGGAGCCGCGGGGTGATGGTGGCTGAGGGACTAGGAGCCGCGGGGTGATGGTGGCTGAGGGACTAGGAGCCGCGGGGTGATGGTGGCTGAGGGACTAGGAGGCGCGGGGGGGTGGCGGCTGGGGGGGAAAGGGGCCGCGGGG